AATAAGACAAGAAAAAGATAAGAAATAAAACTGTCTTTATTCCAGATGATATGATAACTTACGTGGAAAACCCTAAAAACTCCATAGAGAAACTAATCAAAACAATCAACCACTTTAGTAAGGTAGCAGGATATAAAATCAAAAGGCAAAATTCACAGGCCTTCCTGTACACAAACAACCAACCAAAAGGAGAAATAAAAAAAAAAATCCCCATTTCAATTAAAGCAAAAAGAATCATATACCTGGGAATCAACCTAACAAAAGAGGTAAAAGACCTATACAAAAAAAATTACAAAACACTGTTAAAAGAAACACAAGAAGACACCAAGGAATGGAAAGACATTCCCTGCTCATGGATTGGGAGAATGAACATCATCAAAATGGCCATCCTACCGAAAGTGATATACAGGTCTAACATTATCCCAATAAAAGCCTTTTTTCAAAGAAACAGAACAGATATTGATGAGATTCATATGGAACCACAAAAGAGCTTGAATAGCCAAAATGCTCATGACTAAAAAGAAAGAGAACAGAGCTATCACACTCTCAGATTTCAAACTATACAACAAAGTCTTAATAATCAAAATTGCATGGTATGGGAACAGGGACAGACACACAGACAAGTGGATTTGAATAGAAAAACCAGATATAAGCCCACAGGTTTATGGGTAGCTAATCTTTGACAAAGGAGCAAAAAAGATATAATGGAACAAAGAAAGTTTGTTCAACAAAAGGTGCTGGCAAAACTGGGAAGCTACAAGCAAAAAACTGAAACTAGATCACTACTTCACACCATGCACAAAAACCAACTTGAAGTGGATTAAACCTAGACAGAAGCCCTGAAACCATAAAATACCTGGTAGCAAAGATGAGCAAAACATTACATGATATACACTCAGTAACATCTTTAAAGATATAGCACCCAATGCAACAATAGTGAAGGAAAGGATAAATAGTACTACATCAAGTTAAAAGAGCTTCTGTACAGCAAAAGAGACATCACACAAAACAGACACCCCACTTATCGGGGTAAAGTATTTTCTCATACAATACTAGTGATAATCGATTGATCACAAAGATATACAAAGAACTGATGAAACTCAACAAAAATAAACAACCCCATCAAAAATGGACAGAAGAGCTAAAAAGACACTTCTCCAAAGAGGAGATGTAGATACTGTTCAAGCAGATGAGATAATGTTCAACATCATGCAAATAAGATAAATGCAAATTAAAACCACAATGAGATACCCCAGAGAGAATGGCACATCTTCAAACAACTAGCAACAACAAATGTTGGTGAGGATTTAGAGAAAAAGGAATTCTCCTGCACTGCTGGTGGGAATGCAAACTAGTACAACTACTATGGAAAACTTTTTGGAGAGGTTCCTCAAACTGCTAAAAATGGAGCTTCCATATGACCCAGCAATCTCACTCTTAGATATCTTTCTCCACCCACATATTTATTGCTGCTTTATTTACAATGGAGAAAACATAGAAACAACCCAAATGCCCAAAGATAAATGACCAGATTAAAAAGATGTGGTACATACATAATGGAACATTACTCAGCAATGAAAAAAGAAGCACATGCCTTGTGCAGCAACATGGATGGAGCAGGAAGGCATCATGCTTAGTGAAATAAGCCAGAAAGAAAATGAAAAATACTGGCAGTTTCACTCATAACAGGAGTATAAAGGAC